GCGTTCAATTTTGAAGCTCATGTGTTGCAATTAATAATATATATTTTTCAATAAAAGATAAGAGTTCAGCTTTTATTATAATATAAAATAATTTCCACAAAAATGATTTACTGTCAAGTATCTTTACTCAAAACTTTAGTAAAAGTTACAAATTAATTTAAATCCTACGATATATAAATCTAACGACAACAGAAATGCCGCACCATCTACTCTATATTAGATAATAGACAAGAATGATAATTTATCCTTATCAAAACGGGTATAACAAATGTTTAATGAAACAAAATCATATTATACAGTTAGTCATATGACCAATGGTCATGCCAATTTTATGCTTTTTTTGATTATGACCAAAAGGCATGTTATACAGAAGGTCATATCACGATTGTTAATTTGCTACCCATTATACTATATACATTTACTCAGACTTTGACCAAATTTAAAAAGAAATTTCTCTCTATCTCTCTCTAAAATACACTGAAAACAATGTTAATTTTGATATGACCATGACTCTCTCTATAATAACATATAATTTCGTTGTAGAGATGTGGTTCTTATGACAATGCTGCTTCATCCACCATTAGAAAACTCCAAACTTATCAAAATATTGTATTAAAACGTAGTTCAAATATAAACAAAGACTTGAAAATAGAGACTGTATAAAAGTATGTAAAAGACAAAAATTATTTAGCTAAAATTATTTTATTTTGTAGATGCTCAAACTAATTCAGAATGGGATACCTTTAAATCAATTGCAATATATATGCCATCAATAAGATGTCCGGGGTTTCAAACTATATTTCTTTAAGTTCATCTGAATTACTTATTATTATAATTCAATGAAGCTCTTGTCATAATGAATCATCCAAGTGGTCACAGTCATCATTGAGTAAAACTGCTTTAGAATTGCTCTTCTAAAGTAAAGTAAGTAAGTAAAGGCTACTTACTTACTTAAGTGGCGATAACAACCCGTCATTGGATTTAGAACTGATACAGTATGTCGCTCCAGGATTCTCTGCTGAGTACACGCCATTTCTAATCTTTTACATCAAATACGATTATTGCTCCCTACTCTCCTACCTACTCTCCTACCTTTTTCAGAGAAGCATTTTCATCCAGTTTCACGACATGACCAAGCTGGTGGATTTGCTGGATGTTAATTCATTGAACTATATCAATGTCGTGATAAACCTTATACAGCTCATGGTTCAATCGAATTTGGTAATAGTCGTCAAGTCGTAGAGTACGAAGCACTTTTCTCTCTAAAATTCCGAGTGCAGTTTCTTCATTCTGTGGTAGCGTGCATATTTCTGCGCCATATAGAAGCTCAAGTGGTATGAACGATCTATAGACCGTTAGTTTTATTTGCTAAGACGACAAAGAGCTCTATTCTACATCTCTACAAGTAATGGTAATCTCTAGTCTGACATCGTAGTTATGTGTTTAGGCGGTTCCAAGGTAAATGTAATTCTTGACAGATTCAAAGATATAGCCGCCAGCCATCAGCTCAGCATATTGCACATATTTACCAGTAGCCGATATATGCTGCGTTTAGGCCTTATTCATCGCTAAGGTTTCCTTCGCAAATTCGATAAGTAGCGAAAGGAGCTGTAATATTATATAACATTTATGCAGATAATGATCAATAATTACAAATAAAACAAAGAAAGATATTTATTATAAGGAAATAAATATTTTTATAAATATAATCCACTGCTAAATAATTTACAAATCATTATTATATCAAACTCTTTTCTCTTATATCAAAATTTTATATATTTTATATATAAAAATATTAAACTAGTAAGTTGCAATAATTTTTTCCAGATACAAATAATATACAAAATGTATTTACTTCACAAAAATTTATTGCTGCAATGTACAGTGGTTTCCCCTTTTTTATTTCTCAACCATATTGCCATAAATTTTTACTTACAAATTACACGAAACCAATTTGCCACAATTCCGCCATGAAAAATGATAAAAATGAAAATGGAAAAATTATAAGCGAGGAAATAAATGTGAGATGAAAAATGAAATTATTACGCATTTCACTTAAGTTCGTTTCAGTAAATGTAAACTGAAATCCAATACATAATGGCGATCGTATAAATTGTGCACTTCCGGTTGCACAAGTCGTCAACGACGGAAGCGTGCAAATTTAAATTGATACCTTTTTCAATCTGGAGGAAAAAAAACGAATAAATGGCTTCAGTGTTAGCAATACTGTGACTAACGAAATGGGTAAGCGGAAATGAGGTCTAAAGATATACAGAATAAAAAATAAAAGTAAGAAAAAAACAGAACCATCTTTCCTCAAATCGAAATTGTGCAGAAATGCTAAGTTAATACGTAGAGGCGTGTACAGTTTCCTTAAACAATTTTGAGATTTTTTTGTTTGTTTTTAAAATGTTTTCCTTTTATTTTGTTTGTTTTGTTACTTGTTTTGGTTGTTATTGTGCCGCAGATGTCTCTCATGAAAAATCGCAATTTTCTGCAATTTGTTATATATATTTTTATAAATTTTTTAACTTTAGCTTTATGTTATATAGTATTCTTTATTTTTATTTTATTTGCACTAACACACACACACACACACGAATACGAACACATATGTATTTTTAAAATTCTTAAACTAATGCAAAATATATTTATTGATATAAAAATGGAAGTGTGTACAGCTTCTGAGATATTGTATGCGAAGGAAGAGGTTAACATTATAGAAATCAACGTAATTTAAAAACGGAAATCCATAGAAAAATAGTAGAACTCCTGGTGCGACATTTGCACATCAGTGCACAGCAGACATCAGTATTAGAAGTAAGCAATTCAACCAAAAAAGGTTAAAACCAAAAAAATATCTGCAAATGAAAATAACATCGCAGACGGAAATCAAATAAGCAAACAAACAAAATGACAGATGCACAAACGTTGTACGTAGTTTGTTAGATTGACAGGTTTACATGTTGCCCTCGTCCAAGACAATTGCTCACATGGTATGCTGCGGCTGTAGCTGCTCAGGTGTAGCAGTAACTGGAGTACTGTGGCAGTGGCAGTGACAGAGAAGGTAAAGAGTTCAACTCATGTTGATAGCAAATTGAAGTTTGTCTACGTATGCTATACACATTGAATATCCAAGCGATTTACAAAATTGTTCATGGCTCCATTTATTCGTGACTGTTCCTTAACATGACGCATACTTCCAAAGTGATCCAAAGAAACTAATGACAAGGCAAGTAAACATAAAGTAAAACACATAAATATTCTAGGCTCCTAACAACCTTGTAAATTCAAAGTGAATGCAAATATCAATTGGGTGCGAAGGTTCACTTCTGTATAACTAAGTAAAGTGAATTTGTTTCTGATGGTCTTGGGTCATAAATTCATATTGCAATATGTAAATTAAAGTCTTCCATTTTAAAAATTAGTTTTTCTACTTTTGCATTATTTTTATTATACAACGTTAAGCACTTAAACGATATAAATTTCTTCCTAGGTCATAGGAATATCACTTCAAAAAGAGCTTAATAAATATCAATTATGATATTTTTAAATATCATTACTTAAACATTAATTTTTTTTATTGAATGTGATGCATCCTATGATGAAACAAAACTAGAATGGTTCAAACAGTAATAAAGAAACAACAACAAAAGTTTGATTAATTTATTGAAATTTGGTTGATCATACAACGTTGTTTCGAGTATTGCCAATTACTCATCATCATGATGAACAAATTTTTGATGTTGTTTGTTCATTACTGTACGAACCCTTCTAGTTTCTTTTCAAAACCATCATTACTTAAAAATATTCGTTACGTGGTTCATATTTGGCAGCATTGTTAATCAGCTTATTATTTGTAACTAACCTAACTAATATATTTTTTTTTTCGGCGTGCACTTTAAGATATGTTTGTGAAAAATATGTGGTTTTAACAGAACAAAGCTATAAGCTACACAACACGTTCTCTTTTTCCTTTGTTGGGCCAGAAATTTCCCAAACATGTGATGTTAATATTTAATGATGTGAGCGATTACTCGGATCATACGATTTATCACCGCTAGACTTTTGTTTGTAGGATTATGCCAAGGATCGAGCGACTGTAAACAATTTTTAAACTTTCGATGTATAGTAAATGAACATCTTACAAGTTATGACCGAACTATTACTAATGATGCGCTGGCAAATTATCGGAAGCGATCCCTAATGGATCCAGTACGTATCCTGTGGAGAACATTTGAATGATATTTATCATTTGAATGATATTTAATTGCAGGGTCTAAACTACATATACATTGAAATAAAAATTTGTACGTATCCTGTTGGGAGCATTTGAATGATGTTATATTTAATTATAAAAATTTGATCGAAATCTTGATCTCATCGTTTCAATTCGTCTCAGTATTATATTTATGAAAAACACAATAAACAAAATAATGATCGTCGTTCACTTTATTTAAAGATCTAGAAAATGTAGGTGACTTTTATAAACTAAAATCATAAAGTCTCTCTCTGAAATTCAGATCAAGATTGTCAAATAGATTTAAACACCAATATAATTCAGAAGGATCAAATAAGTTGATATTTAGTTGAGATAAAATATATTGATATTTAATATATAGTATATAGTTAAATATATAGGTAAATTGAATAGATTAATATTTAGATGAGTTTAAATATACTGATTTAAGCGAGACAGAATATTTGTAGGCTAAAGAAATAAAAGAATTATCAAATAATATATTATATATAAATAATAAAATAATAGCTTTTCAAATTCTATGTTTTAAGTACATTTATGTTTAGAGTACATACTAAGAAAAATCTCTTACAAGGTTTTATACCTATATAACTATATTTGTTTTTATTATTACTAAACATATTTTCATTTTTAATTTTGTGTAGTTTAAAAACTTCATCAACTTAGCATTGATATACATAACAATTTCTTAAAAGGTCAAATTATATTAAAAATATTTTATGATTTTAAGTTCGTTCAAAATTGTAGTGTCTCTGAAAATTTAAAATATACTGTGATAATTTCCATTAATTTTAGGAAAATGGTTCCTGGTAATCCTGTGCATGATGATGATGATGTAGACTATGCGGGATCAACAAGTTCTGCAGACGAATATTCTTCCAGATCAGACGAAGAATCAGACCCGCCAGAACAGACTTCAGAGAAATTGAATGAGCTGAAGTTAATTTTTGATCTTGACTTTGTGGGCTGCGAAGCCAAGTGGAGTCTTTTTGTCGCTGCTGCAGTCAATTATAGATGGGAAGAACTGTTACATCCAATACCTCACCGTTACAAAGGCAACACAATTGAACATATTGAACGTTTATTAAGAACAATAAGCGAGACTCCTAAATTAAGTATTTTATATGAATGTGCAATACAAAAAGATTATGCTGCCTGTAATCCATATGTTGTTGAAGTCTTGCATTGGCTACTGTTAACAATGGTTGAACCAGCATTTCGTTTAATAAATGCGGAAGAGTTCGAAATGATAATAAATACTTTCGACTTAACTGTGTCCGGGCAAAGTCCAACGCATGTTTTTCAAACATGTGTTGACGCGCATAGTGAAGAAGAGTGTACTTTCCGAAACATATCCTCAAATTTCTGTTGTAAATATGCTTTATGGGGTGCAGCACTATACAAATTTTATTCAATTTTATTTAATGGATTTAGAGCTGAAAAATCAGAAAATGAATATATACATTTAACGACGGATCTTTCCCAAAGCTTGACTCATAGCATTGCCGAACCATGTTGGGGACGATCAAGTTGCGGTATAGTTTTAAGATGTGTCGGACTATGCGAGTATGTAGAACATCCGGACTTTGTCAAATTTCGAAAAGATCCTAATCAAAAATATACCAACGTGTTTGTTAAAAATGGAGAAATGATTCGTCTGCGATATATTATATTTTTTGGAGAAAAATTGCCTTCTCTACCTTCTGTTGCAGATTCTGAAGTAGTTGATGCAATTGTTTCCGTTAGCCCTCTCAAATATAAAAATGAGAAGAAGTGTTTAGCAATAGGTTGCTATGCAGCAGCTGCTATTTCTCTAGGTTTTATGTACCAACATAATACATTGGGATTAAAGGCATTTATGGATCATAAATTAAACCAAATGCTTCAAAAATTGTTGATATAATTTTTTACATAAATCCGATATATATGAACGAACAATGTTTTAAAGAAATTTAATATTAATATAAGAATAAAACTGTCACAGTTTTATATCTATGCACCTTTTTGGCTTTTATTTTAATATTAAAAAAGACCAGGCGATGTTTTATGAATAGGTAGAAGAATTTATGTTTTATAATTTAGGTTTGTAGTTTCCAGAACCAAATTTTGAGAATTTAAAAAGAGAATTTTATTCTCTCTCTGTATTGTAAGGATTTACTACAAGGTAGTTTAATTTCAATTGCTACATATCAAATATAAGAATTAACTTGAAAGATCAGCTGGTTTCCGCAAGTAAAAACGTTTTCTTGACGGCCACAGTAAAACTAAAATGATAATTGATATCAGCCAATTATTATTATTATTATTTAAAATAGGCTATTTGTGCACCCCGACCTAAAAGATCTATTGTGCGCCTATAGGCCCAACTAGGACAATTTTAGACTATTTATAAATCTTATAATTGCAGTGGGCTTAATTTTACCTATTTGATTTGGGACCAGGGTCCCGCTACCAAGGTAATCGAGTCTACGTCTTGCCACCGCTGGGCAGTTGCATAGAACATGTTCTGATGTTTCCTTCTCCTCATGACAGAGTCGACAGGAATCACTTTCTACCGCACCTATAATCTTCATGTGGTAGATTTTGATATCATTTCTGCTAAGGTTGATGATAGCATCAACTTTGATGTGTTCAGGATCAATGAATCTTTTTGACTGTCGCATGCCTGTTTGGGCTCTCCAGTATTCAAGTAGATGCTGTTTCTCCCGTTCACATAATAAGTTGTTTGTGAAGCTATTTGTTACCCCGCAGAAGGGCTCTGGCCCAATGAAAGGAGTACATGCACCCTTCTTTGCTAATATGTCTGCTATTTCATTGCCCTCATGCCCCTCGTGTCCCGGTACCCACATAAGAGTAACATAGTTCCTCGATGCTAGGGTGTTGAGAAGTTGAAAGCATTCCCAAACCAGCTTTGATTGGAATAAGGATTTTGCTAAAGATTTTAGAGCTGCTTGGCTGTCTGATAGAATGCATATGTTGGTACCTCGGGTGCCCCTACGTATGCATTCTCTTGCACAAACTCTAAGGCATGGACCTCTGCCTGAAAAATGGAAGCAGTTTTTCCCATTGCGATTGCTTTACGGAAGTTTGGTCCCATAACTCCTGCTCCTGCACTGCCATTATCCATTTTGGACCCATCAGTATACCATAATTGAGAGCCCTGCTTTAAGTTTATTTTATTATTTCTCCAAGTTGATCGGTCACTAATGACCACTTCGAATTCCCTAGAGAAAGCTAATTTTCTATTCATCTTGTCGAAGACCTTAAGGCACGGAGAATTCCAGATTTCATCTAGAATCTTTGCGTGTCCTGTCAGATTGCCCTCTTTAAGATTACCTAGATAAGGAAGCCTTAGTGCAGCACTGGTCGCAGTCCTTTTAACTGTAAATATCAGCCAATAGTTTCAAATAAGATTTTTTGAAGATTCAAGAATAATGTTCCCTGTTAATAAATTTCCGGAACTTCATCTGAAACAATGAAGGCCATGAGGTCCCGCTGACCTTAATTAGCGATTTTTTGGCATTTTGTCGCCACATTCCGTTGCAAAAATCTTTAAAATATAAAACGGTAAAAATTAAATCCATCCCGTCAAATTCAGTTAATTTAATAAATCTTTCATCCTTATCCATAAACAGTCTGATAAAGATCGTATTTAAAGAGTTTCCTTTAAGCTGATGATCACAAAAAATGAGTTTATTGAATATCTAATTATATTAAATATCTATCATGTCTGAAGTGGTACATTATCATATGGGTTCTTATATTATTATAAAAGATTATTTCGGGCACACTTGCAGAGACCTGTGTTCGCCCATTCAATTTTTAGTATTTAAGAACATAAAGACTGATGAAAATATATTAATCCCAAAAAAAGAAGTTCAGTTTAAAAATGTACAATATCTCAAAAACTTTTATTATTATATTATTATATTATTATATTAACTGTGAGGTTTCTTCATAACCTCTCTCAACGCCTTGACTGGATTATTGTTTCTCACTTTATCAGACTAAACAATAACTAATCTCAGATCTGCATACCTCCCCGAGGAGCATGTAACCATTCTGGTAAGCCTGTCAGTTTTCGTAAAAACTTTTATCTTATTTTAATATTCGATATCAATATTTACTAAATCAATGAGAGAGAGAGAGAGAAAGAGAGTGTATGGTTTAGCTATAATATTTATGATAACATCTATGATTTTTGGTTAATTTCCTTATAAAATGAAATGGAAAATATTTCGGTTACATTTTGTAAACACTAAAAGTCTTTTATAACAATTCAATTTGTCAAAAATAATTTAAAATAAAAAACTTTGAAAATTCAAAAACAATTTTTGACAGCGTAATAAATCGCATGAAAGCCTTTGGCAATTTGTTATGTGCTTTGATAATACTTTCAAAATTCCATTTAGTACCTCACACCTCAACCCAAGCCAGACGAAAAATCCATCAAATAAGAATAACAAAAAAAAGGTGCCTTGAACAATATTGAACAACATTTTTAGAACAAAAATCAATTAAATACACTTCCGCTTGCCCTTAGCAGATGCGAAAGTCAAAGGAAGTGCTCCAAAAATGTTGCTTCAACAAAAACAACAACAACAACAACGGCAATTGCATACGCAATTGCTTAGCTGAAAAACTGAATTAAAATGAAAGGAAGCAATTTTTATTTTTAAAAAACATTTTGAAAAATTAAACACAAAGCAAAAATGTAAAAATTTATTAAAAAAAAAATAAATAAATAATGTAAAAGAAAGAGAACTGCGTTAATAATAAAATATTTACCGGGAAAAAATAAGGAAAATAAAATATTTACGAAATGTTGAATAACAGCAAAAACAACGGTGGCAGTGTGGCAGCGTGGCGTCGTGGCTACACTGCCATTTCCGCTTCAATAAGCATTAACGACCACAGTTTAAACCTTAAACCAATTTGGAAAAAAAGCTGCCAAATTTCGTAGTGAAAGAGATAAAATGTGTACGTGCGTGTATTTGTGTAACTCAAACTGTGTAAATAAAATTCGTTACACTTTGCGTTTACACTGCTCATCTACGCTGCTGCAGTGAAGTAGATACATACGCTGCAGTTGGCACTTAATAAATTCACTAAAATTTACAATACAATTTTTTTTCTCATCTTTTGAAATATTTAATTTTTTTTTCGTAGTAAATTTATCACTAATGGTGGGTGTCAATGTATGTCACTGCGGCATGCTACCAAAAACAAAAAAAAACAGGAGCGGAAATGAAAAATCACACAACAACATCACACTTCATAAATATAATTTAACATGTTCACACTTGTGAAAACAGTCAAAGAACCGTTACAAGAGGATAGCAACAACAACAACATCAACATCAACAACCAAAACCAATTATCAGCAACAGCAATGGCAATGGCAGTGGCTGTGGCAGCGGCAGGGACAGCGACAGTGGCAACACTACTCAACCGAAGTTCTTTGGGAATTGTTGAAGAACAACCGAGAAATACCAACCAAACATCTACGGGAACAACAGAAAAATAGTAAATTACAACTGCGCTCCTCAACGAAACAATGGAAATAACAAATGACAATTGGCACAAATGTTTTGAAATGAAATAAAACCGACTGGCAACACTGGACGCAACTTTTGATGACTTCGAAAATGTATGCTTTAAGTTTTTGTAAAGAACAAAGCTATAAAATACATATAAAACCGAAGGAAAAAAAGTGAAATTAATTTTAGTTTGAATTTGTTTCAAATTTTTCTAACATTCCAACATATGTACTTAAGGCTTTTTTTCCATCACTAATTTTTTTTGAAAAATTATTTCTAAATGACAGTAGCAATATTTAATTAAAAGAAATGAAAAATTCAAGAATTTTTATTACATATAAAAAGTGAGTACTTTTATTCTACGTAAGTGTGCATATAAAAACCGTATGCTGTCATTGTAGAATATAAGGTTAGGTTAGATTGGAGTGGCAGCCTTGTACAAAAACGCCCACTTGAACTTAAATAATGGCCCGTCACGATATCATGGATTAGCGTTGTACATATGCAGAATAGAGGTCAGTAAACGATAAGTCTATAAACTTGTGCAAGTCCTTAGTTTTGCAGGATGACAGCTTCTTCACGGCGGTAAGAAAAGGGGCTTCAAATATTTTAAATCTTTCCTTAGCCAACAATGGACACTAAGATGTAAGGTAAAGTACAGTTAGCTTCGCAGGATGACGGCTTCGTCAGATCGGTAAAAAAAGAGGCTCAACGATTTCAAGTCTTCTCTTAGTCAATAATGGACACTGAGACATATGATGGAGTATAGTTTGCTCTTTATCTGCTGAGTCACAACCAACTCTAATGTTATTATAGGCTAGACCCAATCTCATAGCATATTTTCTTAGTATGCAGTGACCCGTTTGTACTGATACTTGCAATGCTTTTGTTGAAGCAACAGACCGGTAGTTTCTTGTGCAGAGTTAGACCAACTCAATTCTGAGATGTGACAAAAGTGTTCATTTACCTAATTTTAGTTAGCTGTGCTCAGAGAATGTAAGGTGGTAGGGTGGTAAGAGAAATACTAATATATGCTCCCATTGTACAATATGTAGTGGTTGCGAAAGTATGAATATATAGTCTATAATCATAATGATTATTCTTAAATAAATGCAAAATAAATATCTAAATGTTCATTTACATTTGGTCACATTATTTCAGCAAACATGTAAAAGATCCATTTTAATTCAACAACTGTCTTCATATATCATCCCACATTATTTATCCTTTAAATCAAAGAAAGTTTTATAAAATTCTTTTTGACATTTCATGTGAAAATATCATCACCGTTTTCTACTTGCTAAAGGGGAAACTCAATGCATCGCGTATAAATATTTAATCTTTTCTATGTATCTTAATATGTAATTAATGTATATATACTTATAATACTA